AACACAAAATAGGAAGCCATAACATATAAGCAAAAGACCAATAAAGTAAAAACTCCCCAGGCAAAATTCTTCAAAAATAAGATTTGGCTTTGAGTTTGTCATCTACTACTAGGCATGAGGCCCTGCCTTTAGTGTGGTTTGTATACCCCTTGATTTTGCATACGGTTTCCAACTTGAGATAGCTTCTTGGTTAGGGATGGGAGATCTTGTCTACTTCTCCCTCAGTGCTGGGACCCCATCTTGCTTGGAGTTATGCAGGTCCTGTGCACACTGCCACAGTCTCTGTGAGTTTGTATGTATGTCAGTTCTGTTGTATCCGGAAGGTATAATTTCCTTGGTGTTTTCCATCTCCACTGGCCCTTACAATCTTTCCACCTACTCGTCCTCAAAGTTGAGGGAAGTGTTTTTCATCCCAGGTATGTAAATCCAAGGCAGACAAGACTAATCTGGTTCCTCGCTTTGCCAGTGAATAACTATATTTGATGCTTTAGATACATGAGTAGCAGCATTACCTAGGCATTTCGCCCAAGCTGCTCCAGCCCCTCCTGGCCTCCTCCTAGGAGCTCTGACCCCTCCTTGCCTTTCTCTGAACTCCAGCCCCTCCAGGCCTCCTCCTCTGAGCTGTACTTCTAATTTGCTGAGCTGCCAGGACAGCCTGAGGTGTTTTCAGTTCAGCCCAAGTCCATAAAGCAGCCGTAATCATCAGGGACTGAGCACACTATCTGCCTCCAACCAGCTGATTTCTTGTGGCCTCAGTTACATATTTTGATTGACGGGGGGGGGGGGTTAATAGATACTTTTCATGTTTTTAAAAATATGTAATCCATTATACTGTTAGGAGAGGCATCTGCTTTAAAACAGTTACGGCTCTTACCAGCCTATATCCTTCCTAAGGAACAAGACAGAATAGAGCAATAGAAATAAAACAATATACAGCTTCTTTCTGCTATTCAGCTGTGCTGGCTTTTTGCTGCTGTTGTGTGTGTTTTGTGTGTGGTATTTTGGCTTGCTTTTTGCTGCTGTTGTGTGTGTTTTATGTGGGGTGTTTTGGCTGTTGTGTGTGTATTGTGTGGGGGGAGTGTTTTGGCTGTTGTTTGTGTTTTGTGTGTTTTGTGGGGGGTATTTTGGCTGTTGTGGGGGGGTGTTTTGGCTGTTGTGTGGGGGTTGTTTTGGCTGTTGTGTGTGTTGTGTATGTGGGGTGTTTTGGCTGTTGTGTGTGTGTTATGTGTGTTGTGTGTGGGGTGTTTTGGCTGTTGTTTGTGTTTTATGTGTTTTGTGGGGGGTGTTTTGGCTGTTGTTTGTATTTTATGTGTGTTGTGTGTGATGTGTGTGGCATTTTGACTTGCTTTTTTGATAAGGTTTCTTTTTTTTTTTTGGTTTTTTGAGACAGGGTTTCTCTGTGTAGCTTTGGAGCCTATACCCTGGCACTTGCTCTGGAGACCAGTCTGGCCTCGAACTCACAGAGATCTGCCTGCCTCTGCCTCCCGAGTGCTGGGATTAAAGGCGTGCCCCACCAACGCCCGGCTTGATAAGGTTTCTTATATCTCAACTGTTTCTTGGATTTACTAACCAAGTCCAGGATGATCTTGGACTGATCCTTCTGCCTCTCCCTCCCAAAACCTTTCTGAGTACTAGGCAAGCACTCCACTAAGCTACACGCCCAGTCTTCTTTTAGGCATACTGAGTAACAAAACAGTGAACACTGTGACTTTTTAGAGCTTAAAAGTATTAACACTATAGTAGACAGGAAGAAATGACTGTTTGTTTCAGCTCTCCCACACAACCCTGAGACAGGGTTTCTCTGTGTAGCCCTGGCTGTCCTGCAACAACTTTCTCTGAAGACCAGGCTGACCTTGACCTCCACCTCAGAGATCTGACTGCCTCTGCCTCCTGAGTGCTGCTTTTCCCTTGTCTCTCCACAATATTCATAAATAAGACTTTTATGCATAATTTCCTCAGCTAGATAAATATTCAGTTGTCTGTATCCTATCATCTTCCTTGTTGGAATAAGTTTATTTGTTTGAGACAAGGTCTCCCTATGTCACCCAGCCTGGCCTTGAACTAGCCAAGGATGACTCTGGTATTCTCATTCTGCTGTCTCCTCCTCCCAAACACCACGGTTACTGGTGTGCATCACAACCCTATTTATGCAGTGTTAGGGGATAAAATGCAAGATGTCAATCCATTGACTTGTTCAACTGAGTCACTGGTGCGCAAAATCTGCAGTAGGATGTCCCTGAAAATCGTGTGGCCAGCCAGCTCCTTTATAAACTGACAACAGTAACTCCTAATGTACAAAGAAAAGGTACTGGGAGGCAAGCCCTCAGTGAGGACTACCTTTACTCCGGAAGAAGGTGGAGGGCAGCACCAGGACTTAGTTTGAGGGCATATTGCACGTCTATGGATTTGCTGTGGCAGGTCTTTAAAAAGCACTTTAAGCCTATATATGGATAGTTTAGATAAGCCTATATAAGGACTATATCAGAATGCTCAGTAATTTCCCCTAAAAGCTACAAAAAGTCTCGAATATGGTGTGAGAGATGCTGTTACATAGTAAGATGTGGCAGTGCTGTGTCAGAGAAAGAGGAATTAAAAATTAGGACAGTTCAAAAAAATGAAAGTACGGTCAGACCTCTCTGTCTATGGATTCCACGTCCATGGGTTAAAAAACAAAACAAAAAACAGATCACATACTCTGAAGCTAGACTTCCAATAAATACACTCAAGCATATTGAACGAGTTTGGAGTTTTTGTCATTTTCCCTAGCTGACATTTTTATTTATTTATTTATTTATTTATTTATTTTGGTTTTTCAAGACAGGGTTTCTCTGTGGCTTTGGAGGCTGTCCTGGAACTAGCTCTTGTAGACCAGGCTGGTCTCGAACTCACAGAGATCCGCCTACCTCTGCCTCCCGAGTGCCTAAGTGACATTATACAGCATTGTATTTGGCAAAAGTTATAGTCTAGAGGTGATTTAAATATTGGGGAGACTGTGTGGATTGTATGCAAATCAAACATTACACCACTTCATGAGAAGGACTTGATCACCCATGGGATTCTGTATGGATGTTGGTGACTTTTGTGGAAGTCAACTGCCCCTGGGGTTACCTAAGGAAAAAGAACAAACAAGCAAACAAACAGAAAGAGTAACTGTACTCATACAGCTGGTGTTTTCTCTGGAGCAAACCATAGGACCAAAGGCAGCCTCCTAACATCTACTGTTAGCCTGAAGGTGGAAGGAAAGAAGGTAGAATAAACGCCACTAAAATTTGCGGGTTTACTCTGGATACCAAGGTATCTTTGTAAACACTTGACAGGATACGTCAAGGCTAGAGACAGAACACAGGGAAAGGACCGACGCTCATTAGAATTTGGGGTCTGAACTGGGGAGATAAGAGCAATGAAGAAAACTGCCAGGGTCAGGATTTGGCGTGTCGGAGAGTTCGCTCTGAAGTTAGCAACTGGAAAGTGTGCTAGCAAAACTTCATCCCGATGTGGTCAGAGGGGATGCAAGTGCAAATGCGATTCTTCCTAAGAGCGTGCCTGCACACCTCCTTCTGGGGAAGGGGTCGGGGCTCCGGGCGGAGATGCTATCTGCCAGCTCTGAGCGCTCGCTCGGTCGCTGGGAGAGCGGGAGGAAGGCTCAGCCGAGTGAAGGTCACCAGCAGGCGTCCAGGCCGAGGCCGGCGCAGCTGTGCCAGGCAGGGAGTGCAGACCAAGCCTGGGTAAAGGTCGCCAGCTGACGGGGCGGCAGTGGTGGTGGCACTCCCTGTGGGCG